TTAGCTAATGTAATAGGTAATTTTATTTATTATTTTTTGTTTATTTATAAAAATATATATATATATATATATATTTATATATATATATATATATATTTATAGATAATGAAAATGTTAAAATTAATGAAAAAATATAATAGATTAAATAATTTTTTAATAATTATTAAATGGAAGTAATTTTTTATAACAAAAATATATAAATATTTATATCAGTTAGAATAAAAGATAAAAGAAATTAATTAAAATTCAATAATTGCGTAATAATAAAGCTTTTAATTAATTGAAAATATAAATGAAAATGAATTCTCCTTTTAATAAAAATTCCAAAAGCTTTTTGAAATATTATAGGGTTCTAAAAATGAAATTAATATAAAAAATACAAAAATATTTAAAGAAATATAAGAATTATAATAGAATATTATCTCCTATTAATTTAATACTAATATCAAAATAGAAAAATTATAAAATTAAACACCTTAAAATAATAAAAAACGAAATTCGGAAATTTTAACATTTGAAAATTAAAATGTATAATTAACTTTTGGAACATAAAGTCCTAAAGAAGATGATTTAAAAGAATAAGAAAAGTTTGATATTTTTTTAGTTTTACAAATAATAATTAATGCTAAAAAAATAATTAATAAAATAATAATATTTAAAAAATATAAAATAATAATTAAAATTAAAAAATAGATAATAATAATATTAAATAAAATATAAATAATAATAATAATAATAATAATATTAATTAAAATATAAATAATAATAATAATAATAATCAAAATGTATTGAAAAATGTTAAAAATATTTAAAATAATAATAATAATTTGCTAATAAATAATTTTTTTAAACTGAAGAAAACATATTTAATATTTAATAAGATAATGAATAGTTTATTTAATAATATTAACAGCATGAAAGCGAAGTTGAGGAAATACTTAATAAGTATGGAATTAATTCTTAAAATAATATGTCTTAAACTAATATAAAAGAATAATAAGAATTAAAAGAATAATAATAATTAAACAAATAATAATTAAAAGAATAATTTTAATATTAAGTAAAAAATATATAAAATAAATATATAGAAAAATAAGAATAAAAAGAATAGTAAGATAATAAATTATAAGAATAATAATAATAATAATAATAATAATAATAATAATAATAATATGAATATGAATATGAATATAGAGAATATAAATAAGAAGTAAAAGAATTAGAATTGGAAGATATAAAAGAATAAGAAGAAAAAGTACAAATATAAGTAGAATAAGAAGAATAACAATAAAAATATGAAGATTCAGAATAATAAGGACTAGAACTATAAGAATAAAAAGATGTTAAATAAATCAAAGTATTAGAACCTGAAGTTGTTTAAATTAAAAATTAAGTTAATAATTAAGAAGAATTAGAAGAAGAAGTAGTATATTATTTAGATTAAAATGGCTATTTAGTAGATGAAAAAGGTAATTACATATTAGATGATGATGGTTAAATTTTAAGATTAACTGAAGAAAATATATAATAAATGAGAGAATCCAATATGTTAATATAATGAAAAATATATAAATAAATTTTAAAATATGTTATAATAAAAAAAATGCTTTTTTTTAATATAAAATTATTAAAAATTATAAAAATTTAAAATTAATTTTATTAAAAATTAAATTATTATCAATAATGATAATCTATATAAGGAAATAAAAAAAGGTTATTTAAAATAAATATATATGTACATAATTAAATAAAAAATATATAATTACCAAAAAAAAAGATAAATATTATATTATAAATATAAATATATTAAATAAAAAAAAAATATTTAAAAAAAAAAAAGATATTAAAATAAATATAAATATGAAAAAAAATATGATAACGAGATATTATATTAGAAAAAAAAAAATTAAAAGAAAAAATAAAAAAAAATTATAAATAAATTAATAAAAATGTATAAAAGTATAAATAAAATATAAAAATTAAAAATTATAACAATATAAATATAATATATATATATATATATATATATATATATATATATATATATATATATTTATATATTTTTTTTTTTTTTTTTATTTAAATAATTAAAAATAAAATATTTCATAAAATAAGATAAATAAAAATATTTATTTTTTCAATTATTTTTTTAATTTATTTTATTTACCATTATTATTAATAATATGTAAAAAAATATAGAAAATCTTTTATTTAGAAATTGATAAATAAATTATATAAAATTTAAAAAGTTTATGTAAATTTAATTAAGATTTATTTATAAATAAAAATTTACTATACTATTTTAAAAAATAAATTATAATTTAAAAAATATACTTTTTATTGAAATTATTTAAAAAGCTTAAACTAATAATAAATTTTTTATTAGGTTATAATATTTATTAAGTACAGATATTTTAATAATAAGCTTGTACATTATTAAAAATATTATTAAATTACATTTTTTCTTTTACATTTCTTTACGAATTTTTAATAATATCTTAAAGTATTAAAAAAGTATTATTATAATCGAAATTTTTAGCAAAAAGAAGTCCAATTTAAATTTTAAAGATTAAATTTTAATCTTCATTGAATAAAATCTCAAGATTTTTAAAAATTCAAATAAGAATTAGTTATTCAACTATTTCATTTTAACTCAAATTTTAATTTTAAATATTACCATTATTTACTTAATTTTCTTACTAAAACTCATTATCTCCATGAAGAAAATTACACCCATTTAAATTTTTACAAAAACCTTTTTCAAAATATTTACATTTTATAGTCTTATAATTATTATATATCATCTTAGGTTATTATTAAGGCATATTTACGGGTAAAGGATCTTACGTACTTCTTAATTCTTCATTTCCATGTGCAAAATGACATTATTAACCTAATTAACATAAACCGTTTTGATAATGCCTACATATTAATGTTTTATATCTAGCTGAGTTAGTTACTGGAGCATGTACTATTTGTGCTGAGTTTTAAAGTGTTTGGATTATTTGGGGTTATCTTTAAGTACTATATTAGGTGTATTATAAAGGGTTTAGTTAAAAAGACATATATATATATATTTTTTTTATGGAATTATATGTATTTTTAATTGTTTTTTTATTTTTTGTTTTTTTTATAAATATTTGTTATTTTATATTCATTTTTAAGATTCAATTAAATTTATTTAATCTTTAATTAATGTTAATTTATGATTTTATTATATCCTTTTTATTTTAATTATAAATATTATTTATTAAATAATATTTTTTATAATAATAAATATAAACCATTTTAATATAAGAAAAAAAATTGTATATAAGTTATAATAAAAATAATCATAATAAATATATATAATTTAAAAATAATAATAATAAAAAAAAAAAACAAACTAACCAAAATGTCCAAAGAAATAAAAATTGTTCCATTTTCTTAAAAATACTAAAATTAAATAATTTAACTTCACTTAAAGGAAAATCCTACAACTATGAAGATTTCAAACATGTAATGGTTATTTTTATTTTACTAAGAACATGGCATTTTATCAATAGCCTATACATTTATATTATTTTACATATTTAAGATAATTATATCATTATTTACTACCGATAATACTATCTTAACATTAATATTGTTCAGTTCTACTCTATATTTTGGCTTTTTAACGTTTTTATCAAGAACACTGAACACTTAAATTGAGTAGTATACAAAATCAATAATTAATAATGATTTGAAAGATATTTAATTAGCTTATTGTTCTGATTCTGATTAAAATTTTTGGATTGCTTTAGATGCAAATGATTAAGTAATTTTAAGTTTTAAAAAAATAAATATTTATTTGTATTTAAAAGGTATGTGGATTTTTAGGATTATTGAATAAATTGCCTATTGAAACCGAATCTTATTTAGGAAAATACATAAAAAAAGAAGATAATATTAAAGTTGCGGAAATTAAAAGAATGGTAGTCTCATCTTAGCATAGAAGATAAGGAATTGCTAATAAATTAACTTAAGCTTCTATTGAATTTGCAAAAAAAAATAACTTTCGTGCAATTATTGTTACTACTCTTACAGTTAATAAGGCTGCGATTTAATTATATTAAAAAAATCGATTTTTTTTTATCTCAAAATTCTATTTTTAGTTTATTTGGAAGATTTTTGGATTATCTGTTGATGTTTTTCTTAGAATTATTTGATAAAAGAAGAACTAATTTTATATATATATAATTTTAAATTTTTATTTTAACACATATATTATATTGTATTTCCTTTTTTATTTAGTTTTTTTTTTTATTATTATATATTTTATATTTATATATATATATATATATAAAAAAAAAAGAAAATATTAGCCTTAAACAAAAAAATTCATATATTTTTATTTAAATTTTGAATTTTCTGAAACAATTTTATTATTATTAAAAAAAAAATGTTAAAATTATATAATATGAATTTTACAGTATTTATATATAGATCTTTATATTAATAAAAATAATAATAAATTATAATTAAAATATTTATAAAATAATTAATTTTTATTTAAAATAAATAATTAAATAATATTTTTTTAATTAAATAATATTATATTAATATTATTGAAAAAGAATATTTAATATTATATTTAATTTTATTTATAAATAATAAAATATTATATAATTTTTTATAACTAAAATAATATTTAATTATTCTAAATATATATAAAATTAAAACAAATAATAAAAATTAAATAAAATAATATTAGATTTTTAATTAGTTATGTGTTTTTTTTTCTTTTTAATAATATCAAAAAATTAAATTATTTTTGTAATTTAAATATAAAAATATTAATTAAAATAAAAAAAAAAGTCTTTTATAAAAAAACATTATGTAAATTATTATATAAGCTTTAAAAAATTAATATAATTTAAATTTTTTACTTGAAAAATTATAAGGTAATAATTTTTTTTTTATATATATAATATAATATATATTGATTATTTTATATTTTTATTTTAAAACAAAATTAATCATTTTAACATATTTCTTTCATTTTATTCATCTAATTCATTCTACCATACAGTCAAATTATCCCTTAGAAGTTGCATTATAGTAGTAGAATCTTTATACTTTTCTTCTTCAATATCTTCTAATTCTTAAAGTGCATCTTAAAAAGCTTATTTTGCAATTTTAATTGCAGATTTTAAATCATCTTTAATCTCATAATACATAACTGAATGATTTAAAGATATTCCGAGTCTCAAAGCATCATCTTTTCTGATATTATTTTAATCCAAAATATTAATGGCATCTTCATAAGAACGAATAGCTTCAGAAGAGGCTTTTTATAATAATTAACCAGAAGAAAATTCACTTAAATATCTGTTATAATCTCCTTTCATTTTATAATAGAAAATTTTAGCTTCCGCTGATGATGAATTTGGAATTAGTGAAACATCCAAAATTTAAAGAATTTCAGTACATGCTTTCTCCATTTCAGATTCAATTTTTTTAAATAATATTTTATTGTGTCCGAGTATTTTGATACCTAAAAAGTAATAAAAATAATGAATAAAATAATAATAATAATAATAAAATAATAATAAAATAATAATAATAATAATAATAATAATAATAATAATAATAATAATAATAATATTTTTATTTAACTTTAGTTTTCTCTTTTGATTCATAAGATTTTATTGCACGCCATGCTGTTCTCCTTTATGATACGTAATTTTTATATGCTATAGATAATAAATTTCTCTCTTCGTCTTTTAATTCTTTTGACATATCCAGTATTTTTTTCATATAATCTAACATTTCGTCAAATCTTTCAGTTTATTCACTTAATTTGGCCATATATATATATTCATCTCTTTTATCAACCATTTATTTTTATTTTTTAATTTTTTAAATTTGTTTGTTTTTTTTTTAAAAAAAAAATATTTATAAATCCAATTTTTTTTTTCTCTTTTAAAATTTTTTTTTTTTTTTCTTAAAAAATAAATAAATCTTAAAATTAATAAAAAAGAGTTTTTTAAAAAATGAAGTGGAATGTATTCGGATTTGTATTTATTGGCTTTCCAATAGGTAAATTATAAATTTTAAAATAAATAAATATTACAAAGTTATTATTTAATTTTTTAAAAATAAGGTTATTATTGTAAAGAAAACGACATAAAACCATTATTTGTTTTTAATACTGAATTAATAAGATAAGCAATTAAAAAATTATAAAAATAAGATTAAGAAGATGATTGATATATTTAAAAAGTATATATTTAATTCTGTTTATTACTTATATCTGTGATAATTAACAATAACTTTAAATATAAATATAGTATTATTTTAATTTTAATAAAGTTATTTTTTTAAAATATGATCATAAAATTATTAATAAAAGAAGAATTAATTAGATTAAATGTTATTTTTATATACAAAAAAAATAAAAAAATTAATAACTTTTTTTAATACTTAATAAGAAAAATACAATTATTATAAAATATATATATATAATTAATTTAATACTATAAAATATAGAAGAAACTTATTATACATATTTATAAATAGAAAAGATATTTTCATATATTGTGTAAATTTTTATAATTTATTAATATATTTTTTGGAATAATACTAAAAACTTATAATTAATTCATAAATAGTATTATATTTTTAATATTTATTATAACTTTAAATCTATTTATATATAGTATTAAAATAATTAATGTAAAAATAATATAAAATTTAAACAAATAGTTTTATCATAATAAATAAAATAATTTAACATTTGATACTTAAACACATCTTTTTTTAAATAAAGTAGACAAATCTTGGCTTGAAAATTATTTAATAAGTATGATAATGAAAGAAAATTAAGTTATATCAATATATATATTACTAATAACAGTAGTATTTTATCAGGCTAAATTACTTGGTAGAAATTTTAAAAAGTAAAGTAAAAATTAAAATAATATAAACCTTAAATGAAGAGTAAAATATTGATTGTAAAATAATTTTAAGGTTAGAAAATTATTCATAAATATAAAATAGATACTTTAGTGTGTATTTTAATGATCATACATAGATTAGTTATTAAAAATATATTTTAGAAAAATGGGGACTTTAAAAGATACACTTATAGGAAACATATCCTAATCAGCTTAAAATACTGATATTAATTAAGTAGGAAGAGTTTCATTAATAAAATATGAGTATATTTTATATAAAATAGTAATAAATTAATTAAAATTAACAAAAAAAATGTATATTTAAATATATTATAAATTAAATATAATAGATTATAAAAATAATTAGATGATTGATTATTTTTTTTAAAATAGAATGTTATATATAATGGAAAGTTTAATATTATAAAATTTTAAAAACTTTATGATAAAGATAATATTTAAAAAATTAATAATTTTTATATAATTTTTTAGAATAAAAATATTTAGATTGTATATTAATATATATGTATTATTTTTTTTTTTTAGTGTAAAATTTTTTGAATATATAAAATAATATAATTATTGACGCGGTAAAAAATAAGATATAAATAAATTATAATTGATTTATTATATAAAATGTAATAAACACTTAATTTCATTTCCAAAAAACATGTTTAGGCTCAAGTTTAAAAAATGGAAGAAGAGCATACATAAAATAATAGGATGCCATGGGTAGAAAAATAGTAAAAATATAAATAAATAAAATAAACAAAATAAATAAATAATTAAACAAATAAATATATTATAGTCGTCCAAATAAAATTGATGAAGTTAGTTATTAGGAAGAAGTTGTAAAATCTTTAGAAGGAGTACTTTAAACTGGAAATGTAAATAAAATATTTAATAAAAAAATATAAATAAAATTTACTTAAGCTTCCACACATAATTTTTCATGGACCTCCTGGAACTGGTAAAACTTCAAGTATTTTAGCCTTTGCAAAATAATTATATGGACCAAATTTCTATAGAGATCGTATATTGGAATTAAATGCTTCAGATGATAGAGGAATATAAGTTGTTCGTGAAAAAATAAAAAAATTTGCTTAATAAGTAGTTGTGAAAAATCCTGATAAGTAATTTTTTTTTTATTAAAATTAAAAATCGTATTAATTATTTTAAATTAGAAATTATAAATGCCCTAATTATAAAATAATTATTTTAGATGAAGCTGATTCTATGACTACTGAGGCTTAATCGGCTTTGAGAAGAATTATAGAAGATAATTCATCTACAACTCGTTTTTGTATCATTTGCAATTATATAACTAAGTAAATAAATAATAATATATATATATATATATATTTATGTTATTTTTTTTTAATAAATTAGAATTATTGAACCTTTAGCATCTAGATGTGTAAAATTTAGATTTAAACCAATAGTGGAAGAGGCTTAATTGTGTAAATTAAAAGAAATTTGTGATAAGGAATATATATAGTATGAAGATTAGGCTTTAGAGAAACTTATTCACATCTCTAATGGAGATTTGAGAAAAAGCGTTAATTTAATTTAATCAGCTAGTACTTTGTTTAATAAATCTATTAATTTACAGACTGTTTTAGAAATTTCAGGGGTATATTATTAATTACTTATATATTTTAATAATGTTTAAAAAAAAAAAAAATTAAAACTAGAGTATACCAGATGAACATGTAATTAATTTATATGAAGTATTATTATAGAAAAATTTAAACGAATTAAGAAAATCTGTTTAATAGTTTATTTACTAGGGATTTTCAGCTGATTAATTAATTAATTAATTTTCGGATATTATTTTATATTCCAATGATATTAATGAGATTAAAAAAGCAAGAATTTTCGAAAAAATAGCTTAGGCGGATTAAGGATTAAATGAAAGGGCAGATAGCGAATTGTAAATTTTAAATATGTTTTCGTGTATTCTTTCAATTTTAACTTCTTAAGATTTTCCAAGAACTTGATATTAATTATTCTTTATTTTTCTTTTATATATATATAATATGGAGTTTTTTATTTTTTAAAAAAAAATTAGAATTTAAATATTTATTTAATATATGTTATTTTTTATATTCTTTTTTCGTTTAATTAATACTATAATAATTTGATTTTTTTATATTAATTATTTTTTATATATTGAAATTATTATAAATGAAAAAATAATTATTTTTTTCTTCTTAAATATATATATAATATTTAAACAATAATATTCTTTAGTTATACTTATTTTTTTATCTTTTAACTTTTTCTTTTACATTATTATTTATTTAAATTCCTTTGTTATTTTCAATATCAAATTTAAATTCTTATTTTTTATGTGGTGTTGGAAGTTTTTAAACAGCTTAATAATCATTAGTTTTTAAATTAGTTAATTTATTATTAGTATATAAATATATTTCTTTCTATTTAAAAATAAGTTCTTCTTTTCTTGTTCATTAGAAAGTTAATATTTATGAATTTTTTGATAAATTAAGTTTTAAATTAATATGTTTTTTTTATATTTCTTGAATGTATTTAAAATGCGTAAATATTTGTAAATATTATTTTAAAAAAAATTAATAATTTTTACAGAAAAAATTAATTTTCAAAATCTTAAAACAGTTTCCGATAAAAAATAAAATAAAAATATTAATAAAAAATGTTTTATTTTTTATTTATTTTTAAAAAATAAATAATATATATGAAAAAAAAAAAAAAATATTAATATATATATATTATTATTATTTATTTGTATCTTTATTTTTCAATTAGATACTGAATTTCCTCTTGATGAATTTTTATTATTTTTTGGTGAATTAGATCTTTTATTAATAGTATTAAAATTTTTCTTATTATTATTTCTATCTTCACAACTATTACTTCTTCTCTTTTTTGATTTGCTTCTATTTTCTACACTATTATTTCTCCTTTTTTCGTAACTTCTTCTTCTAGTATTTTCGGTTTTTTTACTTTCATCTTTTCTTTTACTTTCATCCCTTTTTTTACTATTTTCTCTTTTTCTACTATCATCACGTTTTCTACTATAATCTCTTTTTCTACTATTTTCCCTTCTACGGCTATTATCTCTTTTTCTACTATCATCTCTTCTTCTACTAGTATCTCTTCTTTTACTATTATCTCTTTTTCTACTATTATCTCTTCGTTTATATCTTATTTTAAAAATAAATATAAAAATTATTTAAAAAATACCTATCAGAAGATCTTGAAGTTTTCCTAATTCTTGACTCAGAGCTAGAACGTGAATATTTTCCTTTAAAAATATTTATAAATATAAATATAAATGTAAATATAAATATAAATATAAATATAAATATAAATATATATATATATATATATATATATATATATATATATATATATATATATATATATATATTAACATTACTTCTAGAGTTTGAACGAGATGGTCTTCTTCTTCTTCTTCTGCTACTTGCTGATCTTGTTCTGCTTCTTTCTCTTTATTATTTATTAAGAAGATTTTTTATTTTTTAAGAAGAATTATTTTTTCTATATATTTGAAGATATTTTTTGTTAATTTTATTTATAAATTTTTATTTTTTTTTTCTAAATTTTTATTTATCAACATTTTTATTTTTAATTTTTTTTTATTTTATTTTTATTTACTATTTATATATTTTTATATTTTTTATTTTTTAAATACCTACAATCTTTCTATTTATGACTTGTTGAACCACATTTATAACATTTATATCTATCTATTTAAAATTTATTTTTAAGTATAAATTTATTTTTATAATTTACTATCTCCGTATTTTTTCTACAATCTTTCATATGATGATTAATTCTTCCACAATAATGGCAATTTTACAATCTTTTTTTTCTACCTCCATTACCAAATTCTATTCTTAATTATTTTCCTTTAAATTCATAATTATTGTATCTTTTATTTTAATTTTTTAATTAAAAATTCTATTATTTTTTATATTATTTTTTACTCATCTAAAGCATCTTTGGCATCTCTATGATCTTCAAATTCTATAAAACCATAATTATTTGCCCCTTTTGATTTGATTTTTATTTCTCGTATTTTGCCGAATTTTATAAATAGATTTTCTACATCTCTTTCTGTTGCCTTTTTTTATTTTTCCAATAAAAAAAAATAAAAAAAAAAAGATTTAATATTAATTTATATATATATATATATAAGTATTTATGTCTAATGAATGCATTTTTTTATTTATTTTTTTAAATTTATTACATCTTTTGATAAATTTCCTAAAAATAATTTTGTACTGTTTTATTCTTCTTTATCATTATATTTTTCTTTATTTCTTGATTAACTTTTACTTTTGCTCATTTTTTTGTGTTTTTTTTTTTTATTATTATTATTTTTTATTTTTTCTCTCTCTTATAAATTTATTTTTTTATTTTTATTTAAATATTTATATCAATAAGTTAATATTAAAACAAAACAAAAAAAAAAGTAGAAAAAAAAAAAAAAAAAAAAATATTAAATTAATGTATATCCGCGTAATAAATTAAAATTTATTAAATTTAAAATTAAAAATATATATTTAATTTATATTATTATTATTTTATTTATTCTAAACATATAAAAAAAAAAGATATTTATTTTTTTATTTTATTATATATAATATTGTATTATAAATATAAAGCTAAAAATTAATATTATATTAACTAAAATAAATGAGTTAAAATGATATAATTATAAATAAAAAATAATTTACTAAAATAATAAAATAAAACTAAAATATTATTTTTTAATACCAATATAAAAAACAAATAAATTTTATAGAAAAAAAAAAAACATGAAATAAATATATATTTTACATTTTTTTATTTAGAAAAAATAAATATAATAAATCTATAAATTTTTATATAAAATATTTATAATTGAAAAAAATATATATTTATATATATTTATATATATATATTTTTATATATATTTATATATATTTTTATTTATACTAATATTTTTTCTAATTACCTTTTATTTTTAATATTAGACAATATATATAAAGATTTAATGTTAATATTAAATATTAATTTTTTTCGTTTTGTTTTTTTAGTAATAAAATAAAAAAAATCACTTATATTTTTATATATATAGTAATAATAATAATTATTTTTTTTTTTCTAAACTTAAATGAAAAAATTCCATATAATTATAAATAAATTCATAAGCTAACCATATTTTTAAAATCCTCTTTTTATCTTTCTAAAATATTATCCATTTAAATAATTTTATGTGCTTCTCTAATTCCTGTATCTAATGCGCCATTTGCAGTTTAAAAATAAACTGGATGTGTAGCTTCTCCTGCGAAAAAAAGGTTTCCATTGACTTCATTTGCTAGTATTTTTCTCGAATTTTCTGCATTTAAAACAGGATAAGAATATGTTCCTTCAATATATTTAATTTAAGAGTACTCTATCCATAGATAGTCTTCAAGAAGATCTTCAATATTTTTAAAATTGAATACTTTTCCTAATTTTTAGTAGAGATTTTTTAAAATAATTTCCCTTTTTTATTCATTATTCATATCTAAACCGATTTGACCTGATACTAAACAACCTAAAATAAACTAATTATTACATCTAAAAGAAGAGCAATCCCATAAAAATCCAATATCAGTTCTTAAAAAAATAATTCCCATGCTTTTTGGCCAAAACTTCCTCTTAAATTTTAAAAAAAGCTTACCTCCAGTACCCATTTGTAAATTTTGGATAGCTTTTTATTTTTCTAAAGGAAGTTCAGGTTCAAATTTAATTGAATTGTTTTTTAATTACGAAATTGGTACTGTCAAAATGATTTTTTCTCCTTCGTAAATATTCCCTTATGAATCCCAAATTTTAACTTTTTATTAATTTTAGTAATTTATTCTAACTATAGGAGTATTATATTTAATAAAAGGAAGTACTTTTGCATATTTTATCTCTAAAAAATCTAAATGACTCCCATTTTGAATTAAATAATTTTTATCATGATCTGAATTAAATCCTTTTTGGAAATCTAAATATTCTCTAATAGACATTTTTTCAATTTCTGTGCCGTTTTCAGTTCCCCAAAAGTGTCTATAGAAATCCCAGATTTTCTCATTTAAATTTTATTCTAAAAAATAATCTTTTACAGATAAATTATAGGGTATGTTTTAAATATCTACCTTTGTTTTTTCATAAAAATCATTCAATTTATATTTCTACATAAAATCTTCTCTTTTTAAAAGTTTCTCATTCTCTATATCTTCTATATAGTGAATTAAATTCTTATCGGGAAATATATTTAAACCACTCTCTTTTACATATTAGTAGTATTTGCTGTTTTTTACGTGGATTTCTTCAGCTCCTAGTTCTATAGGGAAGTTTGCAAATGTAGTGTTTTTACCTATACGGCCCCCATGGATATCACGGGCTTCGAAAATTTAGACTTAATAATTGTTTTCTAATAATTCAAAGGCAGCAGATAAACCAGAAATACCAGATCCGATTATTAAAATTGTTTTTTATGACATTTTTTCTGTCTTTTTTTTATTGTTTTTTTTTTTTTTTCTTGGAAAGAAGTAGAAAAAAAAAAAATTATAATCAGAAATTTATTATTATAAAAATATTTAAAATTTTTAAATTATAATTGCTTTATTATCTTTTATAATATTAAATTAAAATTATTAATTTTTTTTCTTTTCTTTTTAAATAAAATTTGATATTAAAAGCTTTTTTTTTTTAATTTCTATATAAAAAATAAACTGATATATTATAAAAAATTTTAAAATTTTATGTAAAGGAAAATAATAAATTAAGAAAAAAATATATAATATATAATATGATTATAATTTCATAAAAATTAAAATAATATTAGATAAATTTTAGTCAAAAATTATATGTAAATATTATATTATTATATTATTTGTTTTATATTTGTGTATTAATTAATTATTATATAAATAGGAAATAAAAGAATAGAATAGAATAGATTATATAATTAAAAATATAATTTTAATATAATTAAAATTGCGTAAATGATTTATATTTATTTTGTTAAAAAAAAAAAAATATTAATATTTTTTTTAAAATAAAAATAATTATTCCCCCTTAATTTTAATTATCCTTTTTTTTTTTTTTCTCTTAATATTTTCTCACTTTTATTTTATATTAAGAATGTTATGTATATAATTTATAATCTAAATGAATATATTTTTTATCTTTAAATATTAACTTATTACATTTTATTGCTTAAATTTTACACTATATTTGACTTTATTTAAAAAAAATTGTATAATTAAGTTTTTCTCTCTTTTAATTATTTTATTTTATTATTTATTTATTTTTAAAAAATTAAAAATAAATAATTTATTATGATTTGAAAAACTTATAGTAATAATGTCAAATAAATTGCTTTTATAATATTTTATTCATATTTATTTTTTTATTTGATAATAAAATAATTTTTATTCATATATGTTTTGATAATTTATAAATCATATATATATAAGAAAATATATTTTTTCATAAAAAATTAATTATTATAATTATTGATAAATTAAAGCATTAATTATGTAAATAAAAGAGCTTATCTTTTTTTAAAAATTATATTATATTATATTATATTATATTATATTATATTATATTATATTATATTATATATAATTACATGGGTATAAATTATATATATAATAAATTTTTATTTATAAAGAATTACATATTATACATTATATAAAAAAATTAATAATATTTAAAATTTTTATCAAAAAAGAAATAATATTTATAAATAAAGAATAAATAAAAAACTTAATATTAATATTAATAATAATTTTTTTAAAAATATTAATTTATATACCTTATTAATGTCTTTCTATATAAATTTATAATATTTAGTACCAAAAAAAGTTTTTAATTTTTACCAAAAAAAGTACGATTATATCTTTAGAATAATCTTATTTTTTATTTGAATAAAAATATTAAAAACCATTATATATATAAATAAAAGTAAAAATTCTGATTTTAAAATTTCTCAAAAGTTAATAAAGGAAGATTATTTCAATTGTTTTTTTATTAGGTTAAACATTAAACAAATTACTCTTTATTAATTTAGATATTATCAAATTAATTATAAATGATATTGTTTTTAAAGATTTCATTATAATATTCATTCATTTAAACTTCTTCAACATTAATTTATTCTCTAAGTAATACATTTATAATATTATAATTCTAAATATAACCTTTGTTATCATAATCTAAATATTAAAAAAGCAAATTCTAATTATTTTAATCTAAAAGATTTTAAAAATCAAAAGTAAATTCAATAAATTGAGAATATTCCAAAAAAGCATTTTAAAGTCCGTTTCTTCTTGCAAAGCTAAATTTATTTAAATCTTAAATTAATTACAAAGTCTATTAAAAATTTAAATTAAATCCCAATTATTTTATTATTTTATGGAAAGAATTTACAGTAATAAACCCGATATTTTCACTATCAATAAACCTAAAGATCTTTATAATTACTTTTATATATTATTAATTATGTTCTTATATTTTTTATAATAAATGAATACAAAGCCTTTATATATTATTATATATTTTAGGATAATTCTATATTTAATTAATATATTTTATTTCTATTATTGTATCATTATTGTTTTAGTTATATAACTAAAACCATGGGTGATTTAAAGCTTCTGAAATACCTATTCTTTTTTTTAAGTCTACACATATCATTTTACATATTAAATCTTTTATTTATTTAGACAATTTTAAAGTAGGTTTAAATTAAAATTGTCCTTTACAAATTTTATCAAAAGTCTCTTTTTCATTTTTTCCTTAAAAAGGAAATTCTCCACATAACATTGCATATGCAATTATTCCTAAACTCCAAATATCACATCTTTTTTAAAATATATAAATAAAAAAATTCATAAATATATAAATATATAAATATATAAATATATAAATATATATAATATATATATATATATATGTCTTAATTTAAAATAAAATATACCTTTTATCATATTCTCCTGTCAATACTTCTGGTGCTATATAATTCGCTGTTCCTACTATTGTTTATAAATCTTAACTTTGGTTTATATTGTTGTGTTTTTTGTATTGCTTTGAAAGTCCGAAATCAATCATTTTTATTTCTCCATTATATTTACTAAATAGGAAATTCTCAGGTTTCAAATCTCTGTGTACTATACCTAGTTCATGTAAATATTTAACTGCTTGGAAAATTTAGAAAAGAATATCTTTTGATTATAATTCAGAAAGGCGATTAATTTCGTTATTTATTACTCTTTATAGTAACTATTCATTCGAACAAATCTATTTTTTTAAAAAAAAAAATAAACGTTTTTTTTATTATTTACTTCCATAACTAAATATAAATTTTTATCATCTTCATATGATTCATATAATTTTGCTATATTCGGATGGTCTAATTATTTGAAAATATCGATTTCTCTTTACAACCATTATAGGTCTTCTTTTTATTTATCTTTACTTATTTTTTTTATGGCGAAAAGCTTATTTGGGTTAATTTTTAAATATGCTTCTTTTACTATACCAAAACTACCTTTTCCTATATTTTATTTATTAATTTTTATGTAAATATAAAAATGTGATAATTCTTAAAAAATAAAAAAATGTAAATTTTATATTATTTTTTTGCATTTTGTTATTTTTATTGCGAAAATAAAATACCTAATTCTTTTTCGGTAATTTAATAGATGGTATTAATATCTTCATTTGAAATATTCTTAATGGTATTGTCAGAAATTTACTATATTTATTTTTATTTGCGAATTGATTAACTTTCTTTTATACTTGATGTTTCGAAAAAATATTTTTTTCGTTTTTATTTAATTGAAATAACTATGTGTTTGATTTTTATATTGTTTATTGGGTTGTTGGACTTCTTTTTGACTTTGTTTTTTCTTTAAAACATGATTATCCCATATGTTTTTATAAAATATTAAAAAAGAAAGTTTATTTATTACAAAGGTTTTTGTTTTTATTTGTGTATTATTAAATATATGAATATGATTTTATATTATAATTAGACTAATTTTATAAATTAATATATAATAAATTATAATAATTGTTATCATTTGATTGATTTTTTAAAAATAATTTTAAAATAAATATATATGCATTTCGATATAACTTTAATATTTTTTAAAATTCATGTTTTATTAATTATATAATTACAATAAAATCTAATTATTATTATATATATATATATAAAAATTTATTTATATTATTTAATTTTTATAATTTATTTGATAAACATATAAAAAAAAAAATATATTTTTAAGCGATTATTTTTTTTATATTAAATATAATAAGCTTATTTATTATTTATTTAATAATGTATTTATTTAAAAATATTTATTTATTGATATTTATATAATGTTATTTATAATTTCATTATATTTTCAAAAAAATTAATTATTAATATAATTAATAAAATATTAATAATTTTTTATATTTTTTTAAATAAAAGAGAAATAAAATTAATTTGATTATTATGAAAAAAATACATATAATATAAAATTAATAATTTTTTTTTTAAATTTAATTTTATAAAAAATAATTATAACTAATTAAAATATATATTTATAAGAAATATCTTTTTATTTAAAATAAATTAATTTTAAAAAAATATATATAAAATTAATTATTAATATTTTATTTTTAAAAAATCATATATTGCTGCAATATTATTAATTTTTAATTTATTTAATTTTGTTTTTTAATGTATAAATTTAATATTTATATTTTTTCATAATTATATTAATTATATATAAATAAAATATTTTAATTATATTAATTTTTTTAATTATCATTAATATATATGAAAATATATATTAATATAATTACGTTTTATATTATAATTTTTATGTTTATACATTTTATTTTCTTAATAAATCTTAAATTTTGTTTAATTTTTTTAATTATATGACTTTTATTGTATTTTATTATTGGAAAAAAAAGAAAATAAAAATAAATTTAAAGCAAATCTAAAAAAAAAAAATATAAATTAAAAAACATAATAAATTAAAAATTCAGCTAAATTTTATTAAAAACAAAAAATCTAAAAATAAATGAAATATTTAAAAATGAAAAAAATTTCATTTATTATATTATAAATTAAAATATTTATTATATATATATATATATATATATATATATATATAAAAAAAATATTATCAAAAAATAAAATAGGTGTTTAGTGTAATGTTAATATCGATAGTTATATGAAACATATTATTTTCGGCAGCAATAAGTTATGCCTGCATATTAAGTTATTTTCAGCAATCAAAGTTATAATAAAATTATCAGGCAAGATTAAAGTTATTTTAAGTAAATAAAAAAGGATTATAATTCAATTAAATATAAAAATTATATCTTGGTTTCGTAAAATTATACACAATATTATTTTTTTCAGCATTATTCTACAAATTATAATACATTTAATATATTTTTTTCTTAATATAACTTATTATTTGTGCAGTATTTTATACAGTATTAATAAGAATAGAAGTTTTAATAAAAAATAATAAATTTTACAAGTAAATTTTTCAAATAAATAAAAATATTTTTAATCTAAATTATTTAAAGATGTTTTATGATTAAGAAAAACCAATTTAATTCTACTATTGTACTGTAAAAAGAGAAAAAAATAAATGTATTTTATTTATGGTAATCTAAATTCTAAATAGTCAAAAATTATAAGTCATATCATTTTTGGTTTTTTTCATATGAAAAATATATACTACATAAAAAATACATTTGTAATTAATGTTTTCTTTATAATTAATGGTTTATAATTATATCTTTAATAAATAAATTTTGATTTATTTTTATTATAATGTTTATAATATAATAAACATTAAAAAGAAAACTATATTTTAATTTAATAATTTTGTTTTTCGAAAATATATAATTAACAAAAATTAAAAAAATAAATATTTAGATATAAATATTAATATATATATACATTTATAAATATTTACTTTTATATTTAATTATAATTATTATTATTTATTTTATTAATTTTTAGTTTATTTAATAATTAACTATTTATAAATAATGTTAATTATATTTTATAAATATTTTTTTTATCTTTTTATAATAATTAATTATTTTTAATTAAATTCTTTTTTTATTTTACTCTTTTTTTTCTTTTATTTTTTTTAATGTTTATTTTTTTATTATTAAATGAAAATAATATATATTTATCATTATATAAATATTAAAATATTCAAAATTTAAATATATTAGAATATTTTAATTATTAATTTTTTATAAATAAATAAAAAATATTTATATTGTTTATTTTTAAAATAATACTATCTATTATTTCGATTTTAATATAGAATATAAATTTAAATTTTAAAAAAGATTAATAAAACATTTTATTATTATATAAATAACTAATATAATTGTAAATTTTTAGATTTTAGATAAAAAAAATATTATTTTATATCTATATTTTTAATTTAAATCATTAAATTTAATTAAATAATAAAATTCTAAAATAAAAATTAACCTTAAATTAAAATGGAAAATGAAATTTATTTTATTTAAAATAAAAAAAGGAAAACATTTTAAGAATAATACAAGAGAAATTATTTTTAATTATTAAAAATTAATTTAAAAAATTTTAAACTAATTTATTATAAATATATTAAAATATATAAATATAAAATAATTTATATAAATTATTTTTATTCTTTTTATTTAAAGTATACATAAATAATATATTTTATATAAAAAATATATTTATCAATAATTAATATATTAAAATATTTTTTTTAGATATATGATATATATACAATTTTTTATTTATTTTATTATATATTTAAAATAAAATAAATAATAAATTAAAAAGTGATTTATTTTTTTCAATAAGATTTATATATTTTTTAGACATCAAGAAAATAATTTGGTATGAATTTTTCACATTCAAAACTTTTTTTTAAAAAAAATAAATAAATAAAATAAATGAAATTATATTAATAGATATATATAATTAAAATTTTTACTCAAGATATTTGTCTCTAGAATCCTTTTAAATCAATTTATATGTAAAATAAAAATCTATTTTATTTTAAAAAAATAAAATATAAAAAGAAAATAATTACTTTCGATATTATAATCTTTAATTTAACTTTTAATATAGGACAAATGATATTAATAAAATTCATTATAATTATCCATATTTTATACAAATTAATTATATTGTTAATTTACTATTCCATTTATGTATAATTGACTAATTTGTTCTATAAATATAGAAAAATTTTAAAATAATTAATATTTTTACATATTATGTAAATTAAATAAGTCTTTTTTCATTTTAGAATAAATTAAACTTTAAGATTAAACTAGAGAATTGTGAAAAACTCATTTCTTATAAATCTATATCTGAAAAAAGATTAAAAATCTTTCTTATTAATCTAAATTCATAATTCTCGCATTATAAATATTTAAAAATAATATCAAATTCTTAAAAAGAAACCTTATTTTTAAATCCAAACTTAAAAAAAAATATGATTATTAATTTAAAATATTTATTTAATTTTTTATAAATATATTTATATTAAAAAAAATTAAAAAAAATTAATTTTAGAATAAAAGATATTTAAAATATTTAAAATAATATTTAAAATAAATTTTATATATATATATAAGTGTAAAATATTTAAATATAATTTATTTATATATTAAAAATTTATATAATTATATTAAAAAATAGACATATATATATAATATATATAAAATTTATATTTATCTATAAATATTAAATATAAATATATTTATATCTTTACTTATTTTTAATATTTTAAATATTTAAAATATAAATATATATATAATTTTACTTAAAATGCGTATTTAAATTTATCCTACATTACATTTTTTAAATATTAAAATAGATCTAATTAATCTTAAATAAAAATATCAAATTCAATATAATCTTATGTTCTATATAAAATCTTTTTAAAAAATAATTTTATTATACATAATTATAAATATAAAATAAAATAATATATATTTATTAATAAATTTTAATTATTATTATTATATTATTTGTTTATTAAAATATATAAAAATAATAATTTTTTTTATTATTAATTATATTAAACTATAAAATGATATAACATTTTCATAAACTTCATTTATTCTTGGATAATTTTTATACTATATGAAAAACCAATTTTAAATCAAATTAATAGCATTTTACTTTTTTATTAAAATAGAAAAAAATATAATATTAAAATATTTATATATTTATTTAAGACTTTAAAAAAAGATTATATATATAAAAAATATAAAAAATAATAATATAATTATATAAAAATATAATTTTATAATTTTTATATATATATATTATTTATATATTTATATATTTATATATGTATTATACTTTTAATATAACATCATTTTCTATAAATTTATAAGCTTCTAAATATAAAATATATTAATCTTAAGTAAGGAAATTATTTTTTAATTAAAAAAAATTTAAGAAATGTAAAATTCTTTCATTTTTTTTTGAAAAGAAAACGCAGCTCTCTATATAATTTAAGAATTTGTTTTCTATAACATTTTTTAATCCAAAATTTTTTAAAAAGTACCTATATACTAGTTATACAAAATAAAATTTTGAATTTTTTATTAAATATTTATCGATTTTTTCAATTTTTTAGAAAAATTTTATACTTTTAAAGCTTTATAATATACTTTTATGGAAATTATTAATAAATTTTAATACATTTTATAAACTGAACTTGCATTTTATGTCATCATTATACATTTTTTATTCAATTTATTTATATAAATACATACAGTTTTCCTCATTTTTTTTCTCATCTTTTGTGTTTTAATAATCTTTGTTTTTAATAAAGTTATCGTGTTCTCTGTTGAGAATTTCTGGACCTTTTTAAGGTATAAAGTGTATAATATTGAATTTTTGTAAATTTTTTGTCTATTTTTAAGACGAGAATTATAATTGTTCGTCTGTTTAAACATACTAGTGCTTTTTGGAAGAACTTTATTTATTTTTTTGAGTAATTCAGTCGTTTTTTTACTAAAGTTCGAGAATTGTTTGTTTAAAAATGTTTTCTTTTTTTTCTAGTTATTATTAAATTTTTTATTTAAAATATATTATTTGTTATTCTGAAAGCAGTTATTCTGATTTTTAAGGAATGGAATTTTATTATATTTTAATATTTTCGGATTATTATAGTTTATTTTATAAATTTTGATCGTTTGCATTTATATTTTATGTAGTATTATTATAATATATAGGATTATTTATTTTTTAAATTTCTTTTAGTTTAGATTTTGATTATTATATGTTGTTTGGTATTTATATAGATTCTACTTATTAGATTTATTAAGATTTTTGAATATCGATTTGAATAATTTAGCCTTTTAAAGAGTTTTTTGAAGATTGGATAGTGTTTTTTATCTTTTGTATTTAAAATGTATATTAATTATTATTATTATCATTATTATCATTATTATTATTATTATTATTATTATTATTATTAATATTATTATTATTATTATTATTGTTGTTATTATCATTATTATTTAAAATTTATTATTAAATTTTTTCTAGTTTTTTTTAATTTTTTTTTTTTTTTATTTTCTTATTATTAATATTTTCTTGATTTTATATATTATTATATATATCTGTTTTGTTTTTTTCTTGATTTTAACTATTATTTTCTTAATTTTAACTATTATTTTCTTGATTTTGTAATACACTATCTTTTTTTTAATTCATATTTTTCTGACTACTTTTGATAGTTTCCTTACTTTATTTTTTACTTTCCTGTTTTTATATACTAGTATTTTGACTTTTTATATTATTTTCTTGATTCTAAATACTATTATCTAAATTTTAAATATTATTTTCTTAACTTAATATATTATTTTCTTTTTTTTTTAAAGCATTTCTTAATTTAAATTATTATTGCTTTAATTTTCTTATTTATTTTCTTAATTATTTAAAATATTATCTTAATTTATATAAAAAGTATCATGTTAATTTTATTAAGGATTTTCATTATTTTATATATTTTAATTTTATATTGTTTATTTAGAATCTTAATTTTAATAAATGTTAATATTTTCAATTTTTTTTGTAAAAAAAGAATTATTATTTTGATAAACTAAACTATTAGTATTATTATTTTAGAAGATTTAATTGTAAATTTAATTCGGATCCAAAAAAAATATGTAAATTATCTAAAAAAAACTCATTAAAATTTTTTTAATTTGCCTTAAAAAACTCTTAAAAGAACATTTTTTTTTCTTTTTCATTATTTCCTTAACCAAAAATTTCCTAGAATTTTCCGAAAAAAGCCTTATTTTTGATATTGCTAATTATATCGTTAGAATTTTCGGAATATCGCAGATTTTTCGTAACTAAATTCAGGTAAAAAACGTCTTAAAATTTATTCGAAAACTCTTCTTTCTTCAAAGATTTTTTAGTTTTCCTATAAAATAAATTCCCTTTCTTTTTTTAAGGCTTCTTTTAATTCAAAAACATCTTTTTTTAATTTGAAAAAAATTAGATTTATTCATTCTATTATTAAATTTATAAATTTAAATTATCATTTTTCATAGAAAAATCATTAGTAATTTTCTATATTTCCGTTTAAAATTCCTATTCCATTTTTTCAGTTTTCCTCATATTAAATTCACATATACAATCAAATAAATTCACATAAGAATTCCATATTTTTTAAAATAAAAGCCCTCTTTCTGCACATTAAAGACTTATTTATCTTATTAATTCCTTTAAGCAGCCTTAATAGACTATTTAGATCTCTTCGAAGAAATTTTAGGCAGAAAAATGATCCTTTTAGACTATTTTTTCAACCATTTTTTCTAACCAATTTTCTAGAGTAGTCACATCAAGTCTACTGGTGGTATTTTTGGGTATTTAGGGCATTTCTTCTTGTGGTTTTTAGTAGAGTTTTTGGTTATTTTTTTATATAAAAAGTTACTTTATTTCTTAATTAAAATTTTAAAAAGTACTTTTTTTCATAAAAGATATATATTCAGAATTCGTATTATTTTATATTTTTTTAATATCAGTTTCATATATAAAAGAGTTTTTATTTTAAACTAAAATATATAAAAAATTTATATATAAATATATATATATATTTATTTACTTTTATTCCAAAATAAATCCCTTTATGTTCTAAATTTTTATTATTCAGAAATTTAAAAAGGAGAAAGAATTAAAGAATCGAAAATTTTTTCTTTGCATTTAGGATAGTCGAAAAAATCAGATTTATGATTTTATAAATGGGATATATCAGAATATTTTTGATTTGATTTTGAATAATTTTAGCCTTAAAAGTTCTTTTTTATAATATAGAATGCCTTTTTTAATTTTTTTGAGAAGTTTGTGGACTAATTATGTATTGCTTTTAAAATTTTTAATTTTCTTTGAGTATATTTTAATCTAGTTTAGTAGTATTTTAAAATTCTTTAGTTATATTTTAGTCTTCTTTCGAGTATTTTTGGTCTTCGTTGGGCTTTATTTCGAGTAAATTTTAAGAAACTTGAATTAGTTTGTATTTTGATTTGGATTTTTTTATAATTGATGACCTTTAGGACGAATCGGGTTAAGTAGGAAGTGTAAAAGTTAATTATTATTTAAATTATTACATATATTTATATATATTATTATAATTTATTTATTATATATAAATATAGTATTTATTAAATAAAAAAAAAATTAACATATTTTATATATAAAAATTATATAAATTATTATATATTAAAGTTTAAAAAAGTGTATTATTTTTTATTTTAAATATAAGCTTTTAGTTAAAACATACTAATTAATTAATTTTATTTTAAAATAAAAAAAAAATATAAAATAATAAAAAATAAATAAATAATTTTATAAATGATATGTTTTTTTTTTCAGTTTATTCAAATTATTATATTTATTCTTTTATTTATATTTGTTTTGAATTTTAGAAATATTATAATATATATTGTTTAAATCATTATTATTTAAAAATTAATATTTAAATATTATTTTATAGATTATTATATAAATAAGAATATATAAAAAATATTTTTAAAAAAAAAATATAAAAATAAAATTATTTGAATAATTAATATATTTTAGTTATATATATAAAGTATTTAATTTATTTAACACATTTATTTAAGTTTATTATTAATTTATTTTTTTAAAAAAAATTATACTAATTTTTTATAATTTTGCTTTTTTTATTTTTAAATAGATATTTTTTTATTAATTTTCTATTAAAAAAAAAATTAAATATGATATTTTATTTATTTATTTAGATTAATAGTAGTATAAATTTTATAAAAAAATATATATAATAAAAGGTTTAAAATTATATTAAATAAATTTATTATATATTATTAATAATAAAAATATAATATATTATATATATATAAAATAATTTAAATTAAAAAAAATATAAAAATAAATTTATATGGTTTTTTAAAATATTTTCTCAAAGTAATATTAAAATATGCTTTATATCATTTTATTTAATAAGAATATAATCTATAGAATTTAAAAACAAAAAATAATTTTTACAAAATATATTTATAAATCAAATAAAAATATATAATAAAAATATATATATATATATATATATATATATATATATATTTAAAAATATTAAAATATAATTTATATCTATATTAATTATAATTTTTATATATATATTAGTAAAATTACATCAATATTTTTTATTTTATTATAACAAATATTAATTTTAATATTTTTTTTTTATATTTTTATTATATTTTTTTATTTTTATTTTTATCTTTAATATTTAAATTTTTTTTTATACATATTTTTTTTTTAATTTTAATATATTTATAAATTTATATTTATATATATTCATATTTATAATATATATTATTATAATAATTATTTAATTTTTTTTATATTTATATTTATTATTTCATTTATTTTTAATAATATAAATTTAAATATTTATAAATATACTTAATTATTTTAACAAATAAAAATCATTATAATCTTTTACCAGCCTCTAAAATTTAATCATTAGTTTTACAAAAAGCAAATCTTACAAGATTCTCTCCATCTTTTTTACTTTCACTAGGATAAAAAGAACTACAGGGAATCGATGTTACTCCTTTTTCTTTACATAGCCATAATGAAAAAGCATAGTCTTTACTATATTCTTATCCGTTTTTTTCATCTTAAAAATATTTTTTATTTACCTAAACATTTGAAATATCAGCAATAACAAAATAACCGCCTTATGGCACCCAAATATTTAACGGAATTTTAGATTTTGTAAGTTAATCAATTAAAAGATCTCTCTATTTAATTAATAATTATTATGTATCATTAAAATAATTTCCTTTAGAAATACTAGTATCTAAAGCTTCCGAAACAGCATCTTACATAGGACCATGTCTAATATATTAAAAATAATATTATATATAAAGAAATATATTTACTAGCAAAAGACTGAATATTAATGGAAACTTTAAACATATTTAATTAAATTTTAAGGTCCAATAGCCCATCCTACTCTAATTCCTGTAGCAGAGAATAATTTGCCTGCTGAATATACTGAGATAGTTCTATTCCATGTATTGGGTAAGTTTGCGAAACGCGGTAATTTTAAAGGCAAGTGTTCAAAGCATAAATGTTCATAAACACCATCTTCAACAATTATTAATTACGGGTATTTTTATATTAAAGAATTTATTTTTTCCATTTCTTATTAAGTGAATACTTTTCCTGTAGGATTATGCGGTGTATTGATTAATAGAATTTTGTTTTTCGTTTAGTGTTTTTCTAATAATTCAAAATCAATATCCCATCTATCATTTTCAGTTGTTTTCATATCTTTTCGGTTTTTATTTCTTCTTATGTGTTCTTTTTACGGTATTTTAATGGTACACTCTTTGATATTCCACCAGCTATTTGTATTTGGGCTCTATAACAATCATATGAAGGGTCTAAAAGTATAACTTCGTCACCTGAGTTTAGTATTCCTAAAAATATTGCGTTTAATACACTTACACCTCCAGCAGAGACACATATTTCAGTATTTGGGTCTATTTTACGATTAAATATTGGAGAGTAAAAATCACTTATTGAATTTATAAGTTTTGGAGCTCCAAATGCACGAGTATATTAATGAGGACCTTATTATGTTAGTTTTGTTAAAGAATCTTAAAAAAAAATTGGAGGGGACCAGTTTGGGAAACCTTAACCCTTTCATATTGATAAATAATTTAATGTTTTTTTTTTTTTTTATTCTTTTAAATACTAAATTTATTGATTTATATTCAACTGATAAAGGTGAAAATATAGACCATACAGTGGGTTTGTCGAATCCATTTAGCCTAGATGATCCTGTTAACTTTTAGGTTTTTTTTTGTTTTTTTATGATTATTTATTTAATTGTATGAAAAAAAAAAATACTTTTAATTAAGAAAATGGTTTTTGTGTTATTTTATATGCATTTTGGAATGTTTTTTTTAAATTATCATATTTATTTTGGTTTTTTTTCTTTTCCTTCTTTTATTAAAATTTTTATATTTTTAATTTATAAAATTGTTTTTAAATTATTTTTTTAGTTTATATTATAAATATTTAATTATTTATAAATTAATATTATTTAAAATTTATAAGTGTAATTAGTTTTTTAAAATAATTTTATTTTTTTAAGATATAAACATTATTTTAATTTTAAATATATATATTTTTTAAAAAAAACTTATATTAGATTAATATTTATTTTTTAAAAATAAATAATATATATATATATATAAAGTTATACAAAAAATGGGAAATCATGTATAAACAATAAAAGAAAATGCATTTAGAAAAAATACAAGTTCTTTGTTGAATGGTAAAAAAAAAAAAGTTAAAAAAATAAAAAATAAAAAGTACCATTAAGCAGAGTAAGAGATTTCCATGCATCATTTAAAAGTATTTGTGATAATTTTAGCATGGATTTAAGCGAATTCGAACATATATTTGGAGCAAGTGAAAGCGCGTTTGTTATTTGGGACACTGATAATAACGGTTTAATAGATTCATTAGAATTATTTAGCGGAATAACACTTTTTTCTGATACAAAATTAGAAGATAAAATTCGGTGTAAAAAAATATAAAAAATATTTTTTTATATGTTTTTAAAATTATTAGTTTTATTTGATTTATTTGATTTTAATGAATTAGATAGTTTAGCTTTAGTAGATATTGAATTTATGATTTATTGTTGTATAAGTGCAACTTATAAAATATATAGTATTTCTTAAGAAATCTATGCAGAAGAAATAGCAGCATTTGTTAACAAAAATTTCTCAATAGATGTTAGAATAAATGTAGTTAAATTATTACAGTAATAATATAAATAAATAAATATATATATATATATATATATATATATATATATATATATATATATATATATATATTATATATATGAATTCATAAATATATATTATTATTTATTTTAGAAATTCAAAATAATGTTAAGAAATACAAGAATTTTTTTCTATTATTAAAATGGAAAATCCTAATAATGGAATGAAAAGTACTAAAGATGAAAAAAATATAAATAAATTAATTTAACCAAAAATTAATAATGAAATAAATAAATAAAATACTTAATAGAAAGAAGAGTTTAAATAAAATTGAATAAAGTTGATTTATTCACAAATGAAATTTATATATATATATAATATGTATATAATTATTTATATATATATTTTTTATTTTTAATTTATTATTTAAAATATAATTATATAAAAAAATTAATTAATTTTTAACAATTATTTATAAAAATTATAGAATTAATAAAAAATATTTATATAAATATTTAGAATTTTTTACTTTAATTTTTCATTAAGGTAATGTGTTAATTGCACTTAAAAATAATAATTATTATAATATTTTTTTATTTTATTTTTGTTACGATTCTTAAGAAATTTCATATTTATTTTTTTTAGATTCATTATCTTCTAGACTATTTACTTAATTTATTTAGTTATTTTTTTAAATGAATTCATAAATTTTAGTTTCTGTTTCATTCTTTTATTTCAAGAATAAATTCTAAAATATTTTTTTTATATATTTATTTCCATAATTAATATTCTATTAATAATCCCTTTATATATTTAATACAAATAATAATTTATAATATAAATAATATATAAAATATTAACACATAAAAATAAATAATAATAGATTTTTATATTTATATATAAATACACGAATTTATTCGAATAAAAATTTACTTCTAATCTTTTTCTTAACAATTAATTGAATCTAATCTCGTATTAATTTTTAAATTATTTTCTTCTTTTTTGGAAGACTAAAAGAAATAATTACTAACTTTAGAAAAAATCCCAATATCTTATTTCGATTTATAAATAAATTTTTCACAGATTTTAACTTATCTTTCATAAAAAGTATCTTATTGTCCTTTTTCTAAAAAAAAAGTGGGAATTCTAACAAGTTTTAAAAAAAAGATAATATTCCAGAAAATAATGGGATGTTCTTGTTAAAAATTATCGTTAAAAACCGCATTTTCACCTTTAACTTTGATAATATTCTCAAGCTCTTTCCTTAATAAAACCGGCGAAAGAAATTAGACTGAAAGTGACTCTTTTTTAATAACACTTTCGAGCTCATCTTGATTTTAAACTTGATATTTTTTGGAAAAATCGACTACATTAAATTTCGCAACGAATTCATTTTAACATTAAGGGCATTTAGTGCAATAATTATTATAGTCAGTTTTCCAAAAGCTCATAATTTCTTCTGGAAAGAGTATTCTTTGGCACTAATTGCATGTAGAATCTATTATAAATACAATGTTTTCGAATAAAGAAATTTCTTCTTAATTTTATTATTTGATATTAGTATTAATTTCTTCATTTATTAATCCAATAATTTCTTCTTTATCAATTTAATTTTATTATTAAACATAATTCTTAGAATTCGTTACTGCTTGAAAATATACACCATGTGTAATCGGAGAAGCTTCTATATTTAGCTCTTTCATTTATTAGACTAAGAGGAGTACTTTTTCATCTTTTCCGTAATAACCACAGGCTTCAATTACATGTCTAAATATTATTTCGGTAGGAATATAGTTGTTTTTTCTTAATTAATCGATTAAACATAAAGAATATTCAATTAAAGAATTATAATAAGCTTTGTAGAAGTCTCTTTTTAATTTTATTATAAATACTTGAAACCATATATGGTGTATCTACTCGTATATGTATTTCGCGTATTTATTTTCGTCAAAGACATTGGAGTCTATTTAATCTATTTCAGTTAATTTGAAATCTATTTTAAATGGAATGTCTTATTCTGTACATTTTACAAATAATTGAGGATTTAATAAAGGGAATTTATTATAACTATATATATCTAAAATTTATTATATATATGTAAGAATATAAATATTTTTTTATTTACGATTTTTAATTAAATTTTAATCATTTGGTAAAGGTATAGGTAATATTTTATTTAAGTTTTCTTTTATAAATAATAAAGGTTCTTTTTTGAACGTTTTTTTTTACAACATATATCAAAGAATTAATAATAAGGTTCATATTCAGATATAGAAGTTCTAGTTTCTATAAAATATGAAAAAATTCCTGTTTCTACAAATTTGGATAGAAATGTTCCTTATTTAGATGATTTATGGTAATTTAAAAACTCTCGAATATCATATATTTCACTCATTTCATTATTAGCTTTTTTTTTATCAGGAGGAATCTAAAAATGAATATATATATATTTAATAAGTATTTATATATATATATATATATATATATATATTTATTTTATATATTTATTTATATTTAATTTAAATTTATTTATTTTTTTACCAAAAATTTCTTATAATTATGCATAAAATGTTATATGAATTCTAAAAAAGAATCCCTAATATCATATGGATCTATTTCTTCTTCCTCTTCGTTTTCTCCAAATTGACAATTTTCAAATGCATTATCTATTCTTTCGTAAAAAAGGTTTTTTTAAAGTAGATTTCTGGAACTCATTTTTTCATATTTTTATAGTCTTTTTTTCAATTATTTATTATATTTTTCAGGAAGAGCCGGTAGACATTCTATATTGATTAAATCATTACTATCTAAATAAGCTTATATAGACTTTTTTTTTTTTAAAAAAAAAATTATAATTTAGTTTTTATTTACTTCACTTTGCATTGATTATGAAATTTCGAAAACATTTATTTTCTATTCAAAACCTATAATAAAAGGTACAGGAGCTTCTAAGTATGTTTTTAAAACTTCAGGTAGAATAGGAATATATACATTATTATATCTAAAAGGAAAAATTAAACTAGTTAAAGCTTCAGCTACTTATATTATGAGCTTCTTGTGTTTACTTATTAGAAATATTTTTTTTTCTAAAAGAACACATTCAAATAAAAATATGATCTTATCTATATCTAATACCCGGAAAAGTGTTTTTAAACCAATTTAACTAAACGGAGGGTATTTATTTGAAGTGCCAAATATTAAAGAACCTTTTTTTTTTAATTTTATATACTATATTTTGCTAAATATATACTTATTCCTAATTCATATTAAATTCCGAGTTTACCCCAATCTTCAATTGCTGTTGGTAATCTATTTTTATTTTAAATATTTTTTTTATTTTTTTTATTATTATTTCATATAAACCTTATATCGTCAACTATATTACATATAATTCTTTCTATTGGAATATCGTTTTTAGATAGAGAAATTCTATATAAATGTTTTAAAATAAACTCATATTAATCTAAATAATTATAATGAGAAACTAAACATATTGCTTTTTAATAATAAAGAAGATTATTATCATCTACAAGAAAATGTCCAATCTAATTTAATTTAATTTTTATTGATTTAAAACTTTATATATGTTATTATTACTTATTATATTGTTTTTTCATTTGCAGTTTCATAAAATATTAAACAAGTACAATATATTCTACAACCATCTTATAAAGTCAAGACAAAACTGAAAGTTTAAGGAGGCACATTTCCATCTCTTCTAAAAGAAATTCCTTCAGGAAAACAAAATAAAGCTACAGAATCGGGAAAAGACTTTTTTTTTTATTATTATTATTTTTTTAAACTTATTTTTTAATAATTTTATTATTTTTTATTAATTACTGAATATTAATGATCTATAATTGGATATCTATCTATAACATGCGGATTAAATTTAATTTCTAGAATACTTTCGTCTATATGTATGTATATAAATTTAAATATATATATATATATATATATATATATATATATATATATACATATATATATTTATTTAATTTATATTTAGTATTATAACAAAAAAATACGTTATTTAAAACAAATAAGTCTATTTTTTTATGGCCTTCCAAAAGAAAAATTAATTATGTTGTGTTTTTTTGGAATTACAATATGTAAATCACCTCCAATTATTTTAATTTAACTATCCTTTTATGATTTTGCCGTTATTATTTTTAATTTTGTAATATAATTATCGTAGTTATGTATATTTTAAACTTTATAAACCATTGCTAAAATGAAATTATCTTTTTTTTCTTAATCAAGAATATATGTTAGATCATAATTTCCTTTCCAATAATCAATTGCTTCATTTGTAGCTATTTTTTAATTTTAAACTTCTTCTTCTAAGTTTTTTTTTATAGCAACTGGAATATAATTATATTTTTATTTTATTTTCTATAATTATATTTTTTTTTAAATAAAAAATTATTATTATATATGCATTTTTACTAAATAATTGTTTTGGGTTTTAAAATATAGAAAATTAATTTCTGTAATTGCTGGATTTTATTTATCGTAATAACATTTTAACCATACAGTTTTAGTCCCTTCTAAATCTAAATATTTTTCGTATTATGTTTCTTTTACTTCACTTATATATTAAAATATAATTTCTAATCCTGTAAGTGGTAAATCTATTAAATTTTAGTAAATATAAATAAAATTAAAGATCTTTTTTTTAAAAAAAATATATATTTAAGGATAAATTGATTTTATAATGAGTTTTTTTTAATTTTGCTTTAAATTTTTTTTTTTCTTGAATAGCTTGCCTTCTTCTTCAAACTAATTATTCTTTAAAAGCTTGTCTCCTACTCCTATTGTCGTGAAATAATCAATAACTCTATTTGTAACAGAAATCATTTAAAAAAAAATTATATATTTATATTTAAATATTAATTTTATAAGATTTAATTAAAAAGTAAATAATATATATATATATATATATATATATATATTTATTTATATAAACATATATTAATTTCATTTTAAATAATTATTTTATAATGCTTCATTTAATTATTTTAAATAAAATTTTATTTTTTTTCTTTCTTATATAACTTCTTCGCATGATTATTTTCCTTCATAGTTATTCAAATAAATTTATTTTATATTACCACAATATCTCAAACCTCCCAAAATATTTAAAACTTATTTTATTATTTCAATTTATTCTTAAATTATATTTTTATGATCTAATCTTAAAATTATTGCAAATTTTTTTTTTATATTCATATCATTTTCTTTTAATAAAAATTCATCATCTTTTGCACTAGTAGAATATCTAATAAATAATAAAAATCATATTTTTTTATTTTTTTTTTAAATTACTTTTTTAAAATAAAATTTAATATTTTTAAAGCTGTTTAAAATATAAATTATTCAAACTCAATAGAAACTGGAATAGTTAGTTATATAGAACCTGCATCTATTCCATTATAATGATTAGATAGATATAGTCTTAAATAAACAATAAAATCTTTTTATATTTATTTTAAAATAAAAATAAGACTTTAATGTATTCTAATAAAATAATAATATTACCCTTGCATAATTACCCCCTTTTTAATCTAAATTATTTTGTTAATTCATTTATTTTAATTTATTATTCATTATTTATTACATATCCATTTTTATAGTCTATTTCCAAAATAGATTTTAAAAATATTAATTAATACAAATTTTAATCAGTAAATGTATGTAAATCTTATCTTAACCACATCTATATATTTAAATTAATATAAAATGATAAAGAAAATAAATAAAAATATATATAAAATTTTTATAATAATAATATAAAATATATAGATGTATAAATACATATGAATATATAAATATATGAATATATGAATATATGAATATATGAATATATGAATATATGAATATATGAATATATGAATATATGAATATATGAATATATGAATATATGAATATATGAATATATGAATATATGAATATATGAATATATGAATATATGAATATATGAATATATGAATATATGAATATATGTATATATGAATATATGAATATATGAATATATGAATATATGAATATATGAATATATGAATATATGAATATATGAATATATGAATATATGAATATATGAATATATGAATATATGAATATATGAATATATGAATATATGAATATATGAATATATGAATATATGAATATATGAATATATGAATATATGAATATATGAATATATGGATATATTAATATATGGATATATGAATAAATGAATATATGAATATATGAATATATGAATATATTTATATATATATATATATGATATATGAATATATGGATATATTAATATATGG